GATCGATAAGCCAGGTCGTTGGACGGAAGCGCTATCTACGGTTTATCCGGAGGGAACAACGCTGATTTGGCTCTACGGCGAGTCGGAGGCGATGATGCAATCCATCAGGCGTGTGGCATCGTCTTGTACCCTGCCGTCGTCGAAGGATCCCATGGAAACGCCATCAGGCAGCAGGACATCCATCGCACCCCTTCCGTGGAGGCAAGGGTATATATGATGAGTCCTTCCACTACACCAGATCAAAAATGCCCATCCAGGCCAGCAGCCATCGATCGTCACAATTGCCAGTATCCATAACCATTTTTCCAATCCGATAGAAGGTTTGTTATTTAATTTCATCATCACTTACGATTTGATTTCAGATTGGCCGCGGCGGCGAGGCGGTGAAAATCGCAGGTGCACGACAGCAGATCGGTGCGGCAAGCCCTTGTTCTTTTTCTAGTTAGATCATCCCTCTTGTTTTTTTGTTAGATCTGCTTCTATTACTTATTGTCGATGAGGATGTTCTCCATGAGACCATGAATGATTAAGCCCCCATAAGAAACTAATTTCTTTGGTGTATGCAGATGCCATGCGAGGACGCATGCATGCATGGTGACTGACGAACCACAGACCAGCGTCGGCTGCAGCACATTGTGCATACGACTACAGGATTCTGCCAAAAGTAGCAGCCCATCATGCAGATGCAGCACATATACATCTTTCTTGAATGTCTCTTTATTTTCGCCTAGTTGATTCTGAATCTTATGAGCACGAGCTCATATATATACGTCTTGTTTCACTTCTGTTTTTTCTCATATATATACCTTTTGTTTCACTTCTTTTTTTTAAAATATGGATGAATTTTTGTATCGTGCATACTTCTGAATTTTGCACGTGAAAAGCATATGTATATATCCAGCTTCCATGGATAGCAATATATATACAACTTATCTAAGAAATAGTGGTATATGCTTATTTATATACTGAGCGAAAAAAAGTAGTATATGTAGTATATATATACTGAGCAAACAAAAAGGCAGTACCCTCCTTTAGCGAGGATGATGCATGCAGTATATACTGACCAAACATAAAAATTAGTATATGCAGTATATACTGACAGAAAATTAAGTAGTGTATGCAGTATATATATACTACTGGTCTGAAATAAATGGTATATACTAGTAGACCAGGAGTAGAGGTATAAATATAATAGTCTTGAAGATCCTGTCATTATAGCTGCAGCACATGGTGCATAGGAGGCTGCCAAAAATCAGAGGCAACACCTAATGCATTTGTTCGAACCTCCCAGAGAACTGAATATAGATTCTGAATTTTTCAGAAGCATATACATGCATCTACCTCTTGTTTCTTTTTCTCTATTTTTCGTTCCCTTGTGAGCATACATGAGATCGTATATGTACCTCTTGTTTTTTTATTTACGAAGAATTTTGTATCATACTTCTGAATTTTGCTTGTGAAAAAGCATATTATACTACACACGTGAAAAGCTATATATGGCTTATCTAAGTAATAGTGGTATATACTACTAAATCTAAGAAATAGTGTATATACTTATTTAAGCAGTATATGCACCATATACTGAATAAACAAAAAGAGTAGTATATGCAGATACTGAGCAAACAAAAAAGCATAACAAAAAAGTAGTACTATAGCAGCATATACTGGCCAAACTAAAAAAAAGTATATGGTCCTTCAATACTAATGTAGTATATACTGGCTAGAAATTTCAAGAAAATAGTATATACTGTTCCAAGGTATAAGTAGTGCATATACTTATAAGAAAACAGTATATACTGTTCCAATAAACAGTATATATTTATAAGAGTATGCAAACATACTATTTACTACGTTGCTATAATAAAGTATGCAGAAAGCAGTACATATGTACATTCATATATATTCTTTGTGAAATAAATCGGTACATACTCTTTCGGAGAATAAATCAGTATATACTGAACAAGAAAAAAATAGTATATGCTGCTCTAATTAACTAAAATGAGTAAAGTTTATACTACTACTAAGTAGGAAAAAAAAGTATATACTAAAATGTTTATAATCGGATTTTTCTAATCAGTTTGCACGGTAGAAGATCCATGTCTTTAGAGGATGGTTAGGTACGTTCATTGTTCAAATTTGAACTAATGCACTCCGGTTCAATTGTGCACCAAATGTGGTGTGTATACTTGTGCATGCATGCATCATGCAGCGATTAATGGAAATTAAAATTTTTATTTTTCCCTAGCAATTTAATTGGATGCTAATGGGTTATCCACTAAGGAGAGGGAGTATGTACTCCCGGGAGTACAAAACATTGATCCATATATATATATATACATATATATATATATATTTATGGAATCGTTTTCATATATATATATATATATATATATATATATATATATATATATATATATATATATATATATATATATATATATATATATATATATATATATATATATATATATATATATATATATATATATATATATATATATATATATATATATGTGACACTCATATGGGGCACCAAACAAATTTACTTATAGGACACTCATATGGGGCACCATGGTGCCCGGGCACCATGGTATCAAATGCACAAAATCACTAAAATTTTTCAAAATTTTCAAATTGTGAGTATATACCTAGTTATAATAATTCGATTCATACCTATACCAATCAACAAAACAACTCAAATTTAACTTTATTTCACAATCCATGATTACATACCTAACTAATTATATGTATGGATGCTATATACCTAGAATCAAAATCTAACAAAACCAAGTTCAAATTCAGTTCAAACTTGCTTTGAACTAGTTAGTAAAGTAGTTAGTGTTAATACCTAAGTAATTGAAAAAGTTTCATACTCATTTGAATTGGGTATATACTTAATTTCAACAATGGTGCCCGGGCACCATGGAGCACCAAACAAATTTACTTATATACTTATATATATGTATATATATGTATATATATATGTATATATATATATATGTATATATATATAGATATATAGATATATGTATATATAGATATATAGATATATGTATATATAGATATATGTATTATATAGATATATGTATTATATACATATATATGTATATGTATACATATATATGTATACATATACATATATATGTATATATGTACATATATATGTATACATATATATGTACATATATATGTATATATGTACATATATATGTATATATGTATATGTATATGTATACATATATATGTACATACATACATGTGTACATATATATATATATATGTACATACATATATGTGTTCATATATATGTACATATATACATATACATATATATACATATACATCTACATATATATACATATATATATATATATATATATAGCAAATCTATTCTACACCCCTCCCCTAGAATAACTATTATACACCCCCCTCCCCTGGGTCAATCCCACATCCCCCATCCTTCTTAGGGCCCAAATCCCCCCTCCCACCTCAGTCAAAGACTGGTCAAAGCCCCCTCCCGCTGGTCAGACCTCGGTCAAACCCGGACATTGACTCCCTTCCTCGCCCACCACATTGCTGTTCACGTCTCGCAGGAATTCCGCAGTAACATAACGATCATCGTGCAGTAACATGACAACTTTCTCACAGTAACAACATCGAAAAATAGTCATGATGGATCTAGTTTTGTTAAGAACTTTTTTACGAACACCATGATGTAGACGAATTAGAGAAATACTATATAACGTGAGAGATATTGCTCTCTAAAGATTAAGATTTATTTTTTTAGTTCTCGTCTCGCTGGAACGGCGTAGTAACACGACGATCAATATGCAGTAAAACGACTACTTTCCACAATAACAACATTATAAAAGCATTTTTGTCTCGATCATCGTGTAGTAACAAGATTATTGTCTCGCTGTAACGTCGTTTTAAAGCATTACGGTGAAAACGGTTCTAAAAAATGCGATGTGAGAGATATTATTGTTTAAAGATTAGAATTCTAAGAGTTCACTTGTACTAAGCTTGCTACTATGTATCTTTGTATGGACAAATAGAAGTACTTTTAGCACTTTTGTGTTAAACTTGTGACCATGCACATATACTTTTTTAGCACTTGTATTTTGCACAAGATTGAGATTTAAAAATTGAGCTATGCACAAGCAGTGGTACTATAGTAGTACCGTTACTACCATATGTTCTCTGTTACTGCAATTTCATCATGATGTTGCTGTAAAAAGTGCAGTAACAACCTATAAATTTCGCAGTAACGCATCGTGTTATTGCAGTTCTGCGGTAATGTTACTACTGAATCATAGTAACAAAGTATGATTTCTACAGTAAACATAACTGATGTGTTCTCACAAAATTTGAACAAACATACAAAACTAGTAAACAATGACCTCTAATCACTTAGTGTCATAGTGTGAATTGGTTTAAAGAGTTTGCCTTAAACCATGAGATCATGGGTTCAAGTCTCAAATTCATCAATTTATTTTTAATTTCTCTAGAAAAGAAAATAATAGGAAAAAAATGAGAGAAAAAAAATGAGAGAAGAGGAGAGGAGATCGGGAGAGAAGGCGTAGAGGAGGGATGGGCTTAGGTGGGAGGGGGGGGGGTAGAATAGTTATTGTATATATAAGAGCCTTTCATGTAAATCTCCAAGTCAACGCATGGGGTATCATGTAGTAAAATACACATTTCCCATGGGGTAACACCCACAAATTCAGCTCTTGAGAGTGTCATCTCCTAACCAATACCCATGGTCTGATTAGTCTGCACTTTCTTTTGGCTCTCTCCAATACACAATAACACAGTGTATTACCACATATACATCTCTAAACTTCAAATAGTATCATATATAATAACAGTATATTACTAGATATATATTCTGAACTGCAAACATTATCTTATAAGTGCATGATGCAGAGATTGCCGAGATGATTCTCCCTGATCCCCAACACAACTTATGTTGGCATCTGCTGTGCTGTTTGCATCTGAAATCATCTTGAACGCTCATCATTATTCATGGCCTGCACATCGCCAATGATCTATCAAACCCAATGAATATAAACAGTACAATTCGTACTTCGTTTCAGCTTTCTTTTCCTACAGCATAACTAAATCTAAACTAAGTATTCTATGGCGTAGTATTGTAAAAGTAAAGTCTTGAAAAAGCTAGTATCGGCTTATTGTGGACTTGACAGCCAGCGGAAACTGGTCCGTTTGCCACAGTTGATGAAAATACGACCAACCAACTGTAATACCAATTATGAGATTTGCTCGAGTCTCGATATTATAAATAAGTACAACACAATTTATGATATGGAAGCAGAGCACTTCTAGCATGACAATTTGCTCTGAGCTTAATAATAAGTCGTACAAAAAAATATCAAAAAGTTAATGTTACTCTATGATAGATGGAGATAACCAGTTTTAACGGAAAAAAAAGCTATCAAGTGTGGTTACGTAGCACGTACCAGTCGTGGCCTCTTGTAATTGAAAGGCTGTTTTATCTCCATCAGCTTGGGGCAACCATCTATATAACCCGACTCTATTTCAGAGACAGATATAGCACCAAGAATAGAGATGAGGTCTGGACACCTAATAAGTATCAGGTTGAGTCCCTTCAGTGTCATAGAACTCCCCAGATGGCTGTTGTCGATATACTTTATGCTTGGACAACGGGCTAAACTGAGCATCTGAAGAGAGGATGGTAATGTCATTCTCCTCTGCATATTCAACTTGGGACAGTATGCAATACATAGATCCTCCAAGTGAGAAAAACGGTGGAGCTCATCAACTGGCACTAATGCCAATTGTTCACAACGTTTCACATGAATGGTCTTCACGACAGGCATATAAGCAGGCATAAGAAACTCATCAAGACTCAACAGTGCATCGCAATTCATAATGATGACATTTGAAAGGGATGAAAATACTCCAACAGTGTGCCTGCTGCTTGCCTCAGACACGCCTATGGATGTGAGGGAGCTACACTCACGAAAATGCAAATCCTCCAAGGATCTAAGGTTACTTATCAAGACTTGCAGGGGAATCGATGTTAACAGCTCGCACCGTATTTCCAGATATGTCAGGAGCGTGAGTCCACGAAAACAACTCACAAAGTGATCTGTGGAATGGCCAAATTTATCAAGGGTAACCCTTCTAAGAGAAGAGGGTAAAGCCACCAAACCTTGCCAATTGATGTTAGAACAGTTTTGGATTTTCAGCACCTCAAGGTGATAAATGTTCTTTGACTCTTCTGAATCACGAGACGGGGGGGGGGGGGGGGGGTCAAAGAATGATAGGCTCTGAATGTTATGGCAAGAAAAAACAACATTTTCAGGCAGTCTGGCCGGAGCCAGCTGGGGCAAGATTGACCTAGGTAAGACACTATTTCCAAATGCTCAAGATTCCAATGAGGTAACAATTCAATCTGCTCCTTTGTCATCTGTAACTGTTCATCAGTTATTCCCTTTGTGGACCATTCTAGCAATTGCTTATCTTTATCCTTGTTATATAGGAAGCCCTTTGATTCAATTTTCTTTAAGGAAATCAGATCACTGAAACCTTTAGGATATCTTTTGAAAACACAACCCTTGGCATTTATAGTCTGGACATGATATAGGCAACTAACAGATGAAGGAAGGGTCTCGAAAGTAGAACTTCCCAATAAACCAAGGTAACGCAAATGTTTTGAATTGCCTATGCTCTTAGGTAACTTTCTCACTGTTGAAATTTTAAAAATCAATACATGGATACTCGGGAGTTCCTTGAACCAACAGTCAATCACGGGAGCAAATTGTTTAATACTTTTGTAAGATTCATTGCATACTAGGGACCGCAGTTTTTTATTTTGTGTGCAAATAGTCACTAATTCTGTACAGCTGATATTTCCATTGGTGAATATTGACAGATGGCGAACCTTTGAAGGGATTTTAGGTAGGTCACTCACATGTTGTATGATGAAGCACTCATCCTTGGAGACTAGCTGTGCAGTATCATGTATCAAGTCATGAATTACGTAGATATTATTCTGGCCAGCTGCTTTTTGAAAGAACGATCGATTTACAAGGTCATTAAAGCAAGAGGATGCATCTTCAGCCTCCACATACCCTTGTGCTACCCAAATGTCTGCTAAAAACTCCTTTTCAAATCTATGATCCTTTGGATACAGCGCACAGATTGAGAGGCATCTTTTCATGTGCCGTGGCAGGTAAACATAACTCAGCCGAAGGGCTGGCAGAATGTCAGTCTCCTCTTGTTCCAATTTCCACAATTCACTTCTCAATATGTCCTCCCAGTGCTCAATGCTTAGGTTGCTTTTCAACAAGCGTCCAAGAGTTTTGGCAGCCAAAGGTGAACCCTTCAACTTGGGAAGTATAGCTTTACCTATGCGCTCCAACTCTGGACGAATGTGCTCCAGCTCTGGGCTATTGCTAGAACTATTGGATCTGAATGCGCATAGTTTGAAGAAATCCCAGAAAACATCATTTTGCAGTCCGTTGAGCTCATAGGGATCACTGTTGCTGACTAGGTTAGCTACTTTGGAAGATCTAGTGGTGACCAAAATCATACTTCCCTGAAGACCATTGCTTAAAGTTCTATGAAATATTCTCCATCCTCTCTCATCTTTTAAGACATCATCCCACATGTCATCAAGGACGAGTAAAAACTTCTTTGCGTTGACACTATCACGTAAATTAACCATAAGAGTATCCCTTGTATCAGAATGTTGTGACTTTACACCAAGAGACTTCAGAACATCTTTTGTTAACCTGTTTACCTCGAATTCATCCGACACACATATCCAGATTATGCAGTCAAAGTGTTTCCGCACCACTCCATCCTCACAGATTTGTTGTGCCATGGTTGTCTTCCCGACGCCCCCCATGCCAACTATTGGCAGCACAGGCAACTCTGTCCTCCTTGCTTCAGCTATAGTGCTGCATGCCACAGGCCTGCTTCTCTTGCGTCCACATACTCCTAGCTTTTGCTTCAACTCCTTCAGTTCTTTTTCACGACCAAATATCTTATCTGGCTTGTCGAGGACACGACATGTCTCTGGTCTGACTAATCGATCAAACTTCTTTGGTGTTTTGTGAAAGCCTAAACCCTTGGATTGGTCAAAAACCTGCTTAAGTCTATTTTGGATTTCCATCACTTTACTGAAGTTGACACTGTCCAAGAACTCCAAAAAGGTTTCATGCGAGTGATCTTGCCCCAAGTTCTTGCTTGCGTCCACCTTCACCTTGAGAGCATAGTAATTGTACTCATCAAGGAGGTCCTCGGCATCATACACTACATACTTGATCTGGCGAAGATGCCAGGCTTCTGTATCCTTGTGGCTATGCCATTTAAGACGATCGATTAGGTCATACATTGTGGATGTAGTTGATTGGATCAGCCATAGGTCGTTCTCGAGTTTCTGAAGATCGGCCTCAATCTGGTGCAGTGAAGCTATTCTGTTGTCTCTAGCTGATGCTGATCCTACCCCTCGTGGATCCACTTGCAGCAGATGCTGCTGCTGCTGAGAACGTACGGCATCCCAGACACGTGGTGCGGCCCAGTTGAAGAACTCGCGGAACGCATTGGCATCGGCAGCAAGACCAGCTGCTCCCTTCAATATTCCAACGATGTCGTCCATAGCCAGGTTGAGCACTGTGCATGATTATAAACGCAAACAAATTAAGCCAAACCGTTAATATCACGGCAAATGGGATCTTTTACAAATATATAAGACACATGATTGATCAGGAAATTCTATCTCAAATAGGCACATGATTGCCCAGATAATTCAACTAGTCTATTATGTGCTAAAAGTCTTTCACTTAAATTGGTGAGTCCAATATTATAAACCGTTAGATTAGATTAATCTGAAAACAAACCATACACTACATGAACAGTCCCACCTATCCTCCTCCCCTATAGGTGTACATACATATGTATTGTAACCACGCACATCTAGGAGTGGATGTCGAGCTGGCTCGGCTCGGCTCGTTATCCTAACGAGCTAGAATGCTGGCTCAGCTCGGCTCGCTTCTCAGCTCGAGCTAGCTCGTTTAGCTCGCGAGCCAATACATCGAACAGATGCAAATACATATTATACAACCAAAATGTCCACGAAGGCAATTGTATCTCCATATCAAACCAAGAAATCACATGCTAGCTCAAGTGTTCAACAAATGAATCAGTATTCATGGTAGCTCTACCTTTAACAATAATCTTGTTTTCTGGTGGCGATATACGAGATCGAGCACAAGTGCTCAACCTCCTGGATCCATTGCCCCATGCCTGCAACCTCCTCCTGCCCGACCATTACACCACTTGACCAAGACAAGAACGGGAGAGCCGTGCAGGTGGTCGAGGCGCTCGAGGGGTCGGCGGAGCTGCCGCCGATGGAGGGAGCGTGATGCAAGGACGTGAGGCGCAGCAACAAGGCGGGGCCGTGTGTGGCAGAAGGAAGGTCGATCTGGATTGGGAATTCGGGATGAGGGGAAAGAGGAAGATGAAAAGCTACACTGATCAAATAGGTTCTGGTCTTTCCTTTTTGACTGTTTTCTTTGGACCTACCGTGGGATGGATTATTTTTCTACATATGGGCCTTGGCCTACTAACTTCTCTGCCTATGCTTCTAGCTCGTTTAAGCTCGTGAGCAGCTTTTATGTGTAACGAGCTAAAACAGCTGCTCGGCTTGTTGAAAAACATAACAAGCCGAGTTGGCTATGAACCGAGCGAGCTAACTAGCCACGAGCTTTTCGTCCAACCCTACGCACATCTTTTTTTATAGTTTCCGTGAAATACAAATGCGTACATATGTTTTATTTTTTGTTAGCTACTTTGTAAAGAGGAAAAATGTTAATGCAAAATATAAGTACATTGTGACCATGTGATGAGTAATTATGTATACATTGATGAGATGGACTAGGTACCACAGAGATTTCTAAAAGTCTGACCATTTCTTGGACAACTATCTACTAAGCTCATAACTCAATATCGCACCTGCATTAAATCCAAGATTAGTCTTTACAAACATGCTCATTATATAGGCAAAATTTGCTACAAGGCATTCACAAAACATGTAATTAGCTGGTGGACACCGCAAGAACGCAAATTTGCTGTTGGGCATCACAAAAAACTGATAATTAGCTAATGGACACTCGTGAGCTTATTTTACTATTTTTGGAGGAATTGGAGAGAGAAACACTCATTAAAGACAAATTTACCCCTGGTCAAACTTGTTCTGTGGGACCTACATATAAGACTTGTCTTCTTCCCTAGATCTTCCTCGGGTTCGACGAGGCTAGTAGTGGGACGATAGCGACCGACAGTAGGCGGCGGCGGCGGAGTCGAGGGACCTGGGCGGCATCAAGGTCGTCATGCGACGCCCTCGCGTCTAGCTCCTCTGACCCAGCTGAGTTCAAGGGAGCCCAGCAATGATCCGGAGCGGCGACATAGACCTGATGCGTGGTACGCGGATCCGCTCCGCAATGATGGCTCACAGCCTCGCACTAGCTAGCACGGGGCGGTAGTCGTCATCATCGTTATCGCTGTTAGGTTTGAGATTCAGGGGCGGGGACAAGGTTAGCGGTTGGATCTGGCCGTTGTGGTAGAGTTCGCCGAACTCGAACTCCGTAGTTGCTGTCGATGTTGTCGTCCATGGCGTTGACAAATGGGGTGGAGCAGCTGCTGTCGATGCGTCGTTCTGGTGCCGGAAAGGGTGGCCGGGATGGGCATGCGGCTGGGGGAAGGATGACGCGGATGCAGCCCAGGGAGCAGGTGAGGCTCCGCGGCCTCCGCTTCCTCGACAAGACGTCCGACGGGAAGGAGGGGTGGAAGTTTGTCAAGCGCTGCTTGGACGAGATGGCCGCCACCCCAAGGAGAGCTTCGGCAAGTGCATTGGTGAGTCCGCAGTCCGTGCTTCCTTGCTCTGCGTAGCTACCAGAACGACGGTGTGATCCAGAAACCGTAAATTCAATTCCCAAAAAGCGATTAGCTGTTGCTAACAAGAACAGCAAAAATATCTTGGGTAAATAGGGATGAGTACTTGAGAGAATATTGTGTTGGAGCTATGCAGGGGTAGAATTGTAATCTCACATCAGTTTCTCTCTCGAATTCTTCTCGAAATAATAAAATAAGGCCGCAAGTGTCCATCAGCTAATTACAAGTTTTTCGTGATGTTCGACAACAAATTCATGTTCCTGCGGTGTCCACCAGCTAATTACACGTTTTTTGGATGCCTATAGCTAATTTTGCCCATTATATATGTACAAACATAATCCGGGAGTAGATTATGTCATCATATATATTACCCTTTGGAAACATATGGAACTAAATTAATTAGCTTTGCAATATTTAAAAATAAAGTTTACACCATTATATATTTACCATTGAATTTTGAATTAATAATGTAAGATAAGTTTCATTTTATCCGGTGAAACTATTATTTCACACCATTATATTATCTACCTATTAAATTAAAAAAAAATAATATCTATATTAAATAATTTACACTTAAACAAGTAGAGCCATCTTTTAAACTATTTTTTTATAAAAATAAATTTGACCATCGGTTTACATTTAAATTGATGAATACATCGTTTGTATAGACGATCAAATCTATCTTTTGTTAAAAAAAAAACAAAGCCTATGAAGACCTCTCTCTGCCCCTCTACAAAATGCACACATATGTCTTTGCCGCCTCACATACGACGAAGTGTCGTATCTGAGGCATCTATGGTGATTTGCTAAAGTGATCATGTTGTAGCTTTGCCAAAGTGAAGGCGTATGAGATCATCAATGGTTAACAATTGGTTTTGTTAATAACGTGAAAATAAGTTGAAGGTGTGGTGCATAGAGAAGAATCAAGCAGCGTGTGTTGTGTTTTTGCAACATACGGCTCTGTGTAAGCTGAAACAAAGAGGTGATTACCTGATTATAATGTACTGTGGTAAGTCTACTGAATGTTCATGAGGGCGAAAAAAATCATGTTATGAATGGGAGTATAACTTTAAACAATATCAATAGACATCTTACTAGTACGAGGATGCTACAAGGGAGTCTGATTATGGAGTTTTATTGCACACTTCCCAACTTGGTAGAAATTAATTCATTGGACATACTTTTGGAATACTTTTCTACAGAACTTTTCAACTTGGTAGAAATTAATTCATTCATTTATACTCTCAAATAGCTATAAAAAAAATAAGATAGTACATATATTTTTTTATACGAGTCATGGTGATCAATGCGTAGTCAAAGTCATGAGATAAATCTCCAAGAGCTACTCTAATTGGGTAAAAGAACAATTGATAATACTCTCTCCATCCACAAAAGTTACACCAATTTCACATTTGAGTTTTTCCAAATAAGTTATTACTATTTGTAGTCTTTATGCATTGAAGACTTAAATGAAGAGATAAATTAAATGTTTTATTAGAACCCAAGGAGTCATCTAAATATTCATTGGTTGCATGCTTGTATTCACTCCTTGATTTTGTAATATCCAAGGTGACTTAATTTCTCCTTGGTCTTGGTGTCAAAAGTAATATGTTTAACTTTTGTAGATGGAGGGAGTACGTGTCAGCATCGATTGCCATTAGACATCTAATGACTTTCTACCAACATAATTAATTTCTCTCTATAAAATAAAAA